CTTACTGTCTTAAAACTCATTAACCACCTTCAGATCCCTGCTTAACGCTCTTCTTTGCTGTAACGCCTACGAAAAAATTGGAAACAATTTCACCATTAGTGAGCTGAGAACATTGCCTCACGTGCCAAGCACTATCTTCTCTTTGCTTCCCTGTACTTCTCCATCTGTTTGTATCCATCTGCTTCCACGGGGATTGTAGGCTCTTTGGGGCTGGACCATGTCCTTCTTCTATGAGTTGATAGTGTCCAGTCATATAACCCTGAACAAACTGGTGTTTTATTTACATTCATTTTGGGCAAAATTCCTTTTAACTTAGCTTTTATTTTTAAATAATGCATAGAATTATATGCAAGAAAGTATTCTCATATCTAAGAGCTGTTTAAGTAAAAAGCATAAGATTGGTCATATGGTTGTATACTGAGGAAGATTTGTTGGTTTGCTTTCTTTATAAGGTTTGTTCTACTACTTAAAGTGAGAATACTTCGTGTTTACTTCTATCCTACACGTAGTCAAATTGGAAGCAGGTTCAGGACCCTAGCCGTATTATTCTACCCTGACCTATAGATGACTGATGAATTTTGGAACGTACTTATTTGGTTAAATATCTGAATTATTTTCAAACTAACTATTTTGAAATAATGCACTTTGCTATTGGTATCTTGTTGTAGAATGAAAATGGTATAAGGTTTATGGAAAATCCTCTTTTAAAATACTGCCCCTGTGTCAGCTTTGAAGGCCTAAAATAAATCAAATTTGATGACACTCAAAGCCAATGGGGAATCTTTGCTTTAAACCAGTTTATTATCCAGAAATGCAACCACACAAATGGAAATGACCTGTAATGTTCTACCTTAAGATTCTATCTTAATCCAGTAGATAGGAGCAACAACTGTTGAGAGACATTAGCTTTAATGACTTGAGCATACAGATCACAGTTCGTCAATACCCATACACGCGCACCCACTACCGTGCCACACAACGCCTTAGATGTCTTAGCCTTTGTGTGCTAAGAGCCTTATATTTGCAGGTGCATAGCCTGCCTTCCACTGGCAGCTGGGTACCCACCACCCCAGCCCTGGGGCAGGGTTTCCCAGGGCCTCAGGGACAGGATTTTCCCCTTCCTGGTCTCTGGCTCTTCGCTCACCCTGTTATTCTCACGGCCTTGCCCTGGTAAAGCTGGCAGTGTGGCTGTGGCAGGTTCTCGTGGGAAGTGACTGCTGCTGGCGGGAGAATCACCCCATCTTTCTCCCCTTTTCCCCTTTGATTGGAGCTTTTGGGAACATCAAGGGTCCGATAATACAGGTGCACATTGCTTAGCAGCCCCCACCAACGTGCACACCGGTCAGCACTAACAGCGTCATAAGCAGGAACAACCAACAGGGAGTCTGAGTGGGTCCCAACGACATCTGTACAGTTACTGTGAAAAAAGTGTTATGGGGGGACCCTGCTTTGCTGGGGAGGAGCCAAGAGGAGGCTGTTCACATAAGGATCCCCATCATTTCTTTTCCTGCTGGTCACTGAGAATAGTTTTCCGTTTTTCCCCATTTTTATTTTCTCTCCTCCCATTTTTTATTTCCATTTTTTGCTAAAAATAACTTTCAACATTGGAGTCAATGTATGCCATCAGCTGCAGACTCCACTAATAAATCTTTGTGCATGTGAACCTGTCTCAACCTCCTTTGTACAATAACGAACGACATGTTGGCTGCAACCCAGTAGTTAGAACTTCACATAGATGTAAGAGAAACAGCACTTAATAGCTAACATCGTGTGTGGTTTAACTCGTGCACTCTGTCAGCTTGCCTCATTTCTCCCTCTGCTTCATGATGGCTAAAGAATTTTTAGAAATTTGAGAAAAAAAAATTAAGAAATAAGAAAGCACAGAAAAAGAGCTTGGCTAAATGTGTGGAGGGGGATGCCGTCAGAGTGAGACTCGAGACCCATTAAAATCCAGATTCTCTGAATTCTGCCCGCCACGTGCTAGAAGTCAGTCCCAATCAAACAGCTGCAACAGCCTGCTATGGCAAGCATTTGGCAGTAGAAGAAAGCAGTACAAGTCCCTGTTCTGAAGAGAAACTTCTAATGATGAGGTATTGTTATAGAGGATAATGTTGAAACAGCTGCTCTTTCTTCAGGATAAAAATAAAGGAAATACACTAGAAAGTAACTGGAAAAATGAGCTGGAAAATAGGTAGCAAGGAAAACCAGAGAAGTTGAGCCTGATTTCGTGAGAGAGATAACAAGAGTATACCAAAGAAATACCTAACTCCATTATTGATTTCTCCTCTTCATGGAAATAAAGCACAAAGCTGTAAGTACTAACAGCTTGTTTCAAAGTGTTCATCATCTTTAATTCTGTGATGGGGAAGTAGGGGCAGGAGGATATCACACAGTTTGCTTGTTTGCTTGATACCTATTAGAAAACAGTGTTTGCATCAAGTAGTGAAGGCGGTAGATGAATGGAGTGGGTAGTCTGTTCTGAAAGTGGGATCTGCATTTATTTGCCAAGAGAGCCATTTGCAATTTGTGGTTTTCCTCCTCCTTTATTCTATCTCCCTGCCTAAGAAAGGGTCACGCAGGGGACATGATCATCCCTCTTTTTTTTCATCTAAAGCAGCAGGCAGGAGACTCAGTTCTCAGAGACCTGAACTTTCAAAGGAATTGAGGCAGACTTTTCTGGGGTCAAAGTCTTCCTGAAATGACATGGAAGTTGGGCACGTTATTCTTTTAGAGTCCTTAGGAAAGTAATACAGATTTTGGTAACACCTGTAATTACATAAAACATTCTACAGTGTGTTGAGGTTGGCCAAGAAATCATTTCTAAGGACAGCTGTAGCGTTCAAGGCATGCCTTTCCTTTTATTTTCAGCACAAAGAAATGGTGTAAAAGCTCTCCATTTCTGAATGCAGTAACATAGGACCTTTGTCTCTCCTTTTGCTTTCATTCTCTGAACTGAAGGAATTACATACAAAATTTGAGTTAGTGACGCATTTTTTGCAGCTACTGAAATTCTGATAGTATAGTAAGTCAAGTCATTGGAAAATATGTTTTTCTGTGAATAGGAGCAAGACAAAGAAATGAAAGACAAGGAAATTTAAAGGAAAAGTCAACTTTCGGTATATTTCCAAAAGAATGCAAGTTCTGAATTTTAGGCTATAACCTGCTTTGGGCAGCCATCCTAGCTGCTTTTCTCTTGGTATGGAAAAGTTAGCATGTTGCACGCTGTGAGAAACAACAAGAAATGCCTTTGCATTTTTGTAATACAGATTTCAATGCCAAACGTATTGTACAGGCATAGTGATTTGGATTTACTAGTATGCTGTGTTTCAATGGTTTCTTCTCTTATGATAATGGGAATCCAAACGGGGAAATCTCTCCATTAGCTTCAGTTAGCTCTCAATTATGTGTTGATTATTTCCCACTGATACAGTAATTCATACAACGGAGGTATTCAGCAGTTAAGGCTTAGCGTGGAATCAGTGTACATACTGCATATTAATAAAGGCCCAGAATGGCAGTTTCCCAGTCTCCTACTTTTGGTGTTTAAATTGACACTGTAGGACTGCTTCAACTTAAGTTACCTTTTTTTGTGAATGAGACATAAATGCACTGATGCCTGCAGAGTTCATATTTTATAAATGCGGTGCAGTGAGAGGAAAAATTAGATCTGCCCTCTGTGTTATGTAAGCCAGAGCCTCAGAATAACACCGCTTCAATCCTTTATATAACATTAATTATCTACTGAAAAGTAAATGGGTTACGATAATTCTTGGTAATTGGTATCACTGCGGAATACCTAATGTAGAGTACTTCCCCAAGTAGAAACATTGCATGATTTTGCTGTTTTATAGAAGGAATATTTCTCCAAAAACTTTATATTGCCATATCAGAGAGAGACTGAAAGGGTGTAAATCAATGCTCTTCTACTGAGCATTTCTGATGAAAATTGATGTAGGTTCACTGTGCTTACTGTGCTGTACTGATTTATATCACTTGAAGATTTTACCCTGCATGTTTAGCAGTATGGCTATAATTGGAGCCGAACTCTGCCTTGCCATCATTATTCAAGGTTGCGTATATCGGTGATGGGGAGAAAGAAGCTTCCTCAGCACAGTCTAGCCTTGGAAAAATTAATTTTGTTGATCAGATTTTACCACCGTTTTTCACATTGTGTACCCCAGGAGCAGAACCCCCCATAATCCCAGGAGCAGAGCTGAGTCCAAGTTCACTACAGTCAAAATAAATGACAATAAGAAAAAATAGGAATAAGAGTAATTAATAATAAATATTGGATTCGATTTTTTTAATGTTAAAGTCTTACCATTAGAAAAAGGAGTCAAGAACATGCAGAATAACGTATAAAGGAGAATGCCATCAGAAAAGAAAAAGCTTATTTCTAAATGTGTCTCCATATAACCCTACTATTATATTAGCACATCCTTTCAACTTGGGTCATAGCTGAATTAAACTTCCTACACAGTCAAGTAGGGATCTAAATATATGCTCCAAGTTATGTAAAAGCAGTCAAATCCTATTTGCATTGTCACTATACGATACAAAATGCGATAATGACCTCCTTTTTTATGTCCAGTACTATCTATAAAACAGGCTTAGGCCCTTTTTTTCTTAAGGAGGTCAGCTGTTCCTTTGCTTTCTTAATGAGCTTCAGACATTCCCAGAGAGTTTTCCAGTATTGCAGACATACCTCGCCCCGGGCAAGACAGTCGCGGCCTCTGCCAACACCTAAGCTCTACAGATAGATCACATGTGACAGCTTATGCAATTGAGCGGAGCTTTATATACTAGCAGGACATTAGCAGGTAACGGGCTTACAGGAAAAAAGCATCAGGTGAGGAAAAAAATGTTTGCCTGTGTTCCTTCTTGGAGTGTTTTGGCATTGTGACAAAACATATTCGATTTAATCTTCTATTTCATTAGGAGATCAATCTGTAAAAAAATTCCTTGGATTTAGTAATGTTTTCCGTGTTCTAAAATTGTAGGGCTGAAATTCTGCGAAGACTTAGATACAATGGTTATTCGTCTACGGAGAATGACACCTGGGTATATAAGGTTATTGCAGGTATGAAAATTCTGTCTTTTTTTCTGCTTTTAATTAGCTCTTTAAATTAACAATATCTATCTTTCTCAGATAGATTTCATCTCGAGTTACTGCATGACCAACCCACGGGAGCACTAGCTTCTAGTGGGTTAACTTTCTTAACTACTGAAATAAGTCCTAATTAAGTATCTGCTCAAAAGTCAATGAATTATGATAGTTCTTGATAATTGATATCATTCTGGAATACCTAGTGCAGAATACTTGGAAGGAGATGCAACTTATGTTTCTTTAGTAATTAAACAATAACTATTTCTCCATCTTTTTAGATTGCAGCGGCTTTTTGTGTTTGAGGCAGTAGAAAAGTGTTAATGATGATGAGAATGGTAGCGTTCCAAACCAACTGAAATGAACTATTAGGGAAACATTTCAACTTACTTTTATACTTATGATAAAGAAATCTCAAACAATTATTATCTCTGGAACACCAAGGGACCAGCGAATGGATTGTTATAGGAAGAAAAAATGAAAACATAGATAGAAAATGTTTTAAATCAGCTAAATAACTGAGAATAAAACAGCCACAGCAAAAATATTCTGAAGTAGGACATTTTCTTTAATGTAGGCCATATTTTGATATTTGTGGAGTGTGTATTTTTTTGCTGGAGTATCTCACCGCTCTTAACAATGTGATCTGCATCCAAAATCGTAGAGCATAGTACTTTGTGGGTGATATGGCTGAGATAAGACTACTGTGTTTCAGTCCTAGTAGTGAGTTTCTTTCATGCCCGACTATCTGGTGGAATCATCTCACATAGTAATTTTGTTGGGAATTTCTGTTGTCTTTATTTATTCGCTGCTGAAATAGCCACACTGTCAGTCACATTATCAAGGTCAAAGCACTGAATTGTGATTATGTGCATTTATGTAGAATACCTGTGATCTGGAAGTGAAAATCAGGCTCTTTGAACAGGAGTTTTGTCACTTATTTCAGTGGCACCATGCTTTCCATCCACTCAGTGCAAGGGAAAGAATAAAAAGCCAAAGCTTTGCATAGGGCTAGATCATTATTTAATATAAGAAATGCTGCAGCTAGAAATATACAAACATGATATGTTTTAATCCATAGTGACAATGTAATTATAATTCTTATAATAACAATTTGCATTTTGCTTTCTAGAGATTCTGTGCAAACTATGTTTCTGCTTCTTGGTCAGTGTATCATATGTGTTAGGCAAGCAATACTAATTTAATTTATTTTCTGATTGTTATTCAGATATTCAGTAGATAATTAATTTTTAATCTTTCCTTTGATTAGCATTACCTGCTTCTTTGCCAGACTTGATGATGAGACAGTGTTAAAGCTTGTGTCCTTGGTCTAGTTCTATCCATTGAGCTAATAAAAGATGTTACCAATCCCCTTTAGCCTTGCTTTCCTGAATTAATGACTAATATTGCAGGGAATGACACTCCAATAGCTAATCACAGTATGCACAATAGCTAATCTATGGGAAGAGGTCTTTATATTTCACAGAAAAAGAAAGTCTCTTCCCTTTATTCTTAGAACTCTCAGCCTGATTCAGCTCTCCCTTTCAGCCGAGTGGCCAGAAGGAACCCCATTAAAGTCACTGACACCAGAGACTGACAAATGGATGAAAAATCGTATCGGAAATTTTTCCTTGTTTTAGAAAGGGGCACCTTCAAAAGTGTGTATTTGTTTGTGCCAGATATTGTTCAGCAGAAAGCACAGTCATACTAAATTGGACACAATGAGCTAAAAAATACTTTGTGGGTTCCAAAGACCCGCTTCCTTATTGCACTCAGCAGAATCAGCAGGTAATCTGCCCTGTTTTTCCCATAGACTCAAGCTGCAGGAAAAATAGTTATCAACTCAACAGACATACTGCTGCAACGTACAGCCTTGCTACTGGGAATGTTTGGGATCAGTATATCCAGCTACAGCACACACCAGCTAGCTCAAGAGAAGAGACTTTCCTTGACTCTTTAAGCTGCATTGGGATGTGACCCAAGAAATAAACACTTATGTCAGTAGTGCTGATGAGTGGCTTTTCACTCTCAGTTATCAGTCTGAAGGTCATGAGACACTTTGCAATTGTGATTTCTACATGCAAACTTGAAAAAAGTGAAGAATCACAGATTTCTTCGGAAAAGAAAAAAGAATAATGGATAACAGAGGTATTAAATTTCCAAGTAAGATGGATTGTCTGTAAACATGATGGATTCCTTTCATTATCCACTGTATACATAGAGAGATATTTAAAGGTATGAAGTACAGTTAAAATCAGAATAGGTGTAAACATGTTGATGGGGGTACCATGCTCAGTTAGGGTCACCTTGTTACAGCTTTTGTGAACAGACTGCTCTACAAAGACTTGTTTTGAAAAAGAAAGTTGGAAGCAGTATATTCTTCGTGACAAGTATCAGAGCAAATGAAGCATCTCTCATAGACTCTTAGCACTGTTATATCTAACTAGATATATAAATTTGTGTGTATTACGTGATTTGTGTGCTCTGTCCTTTACTGTTGAGTCTTAAACATTTCATGCCTCGTGTGTAGAAATGTGCATGTATTGCAGCATATTCTGACATCCTTATGTAACAGCAGAAATGACTTGAGACTACACCATAAATATGTAATTGGAAAGGAGCCTTGACACCGAACCAGATAACTTTGGCATTCTGTACAGAAACTCTCTACTCTAGAAAGAACCAGTAAAAATATTGGATTTTTTCTGTTGCAGAGTTCAATATCTGTTCACATTTCTTTGCAAAACTCACTCATCCCATAATACACATTCTAATTAAAATAAAAATAGAGACTGACCTTTTTTCTCCTTTCTCCTTGTTTTCTTGTTCTTCTTACTCAATGTTATAGTTTATTCAGGAATATTCTGTTACTATCAGTTAGCATTTTGCAAACTGTTTCTGAGATTTTGTGTAAACATGGCTTTGTAGCTCTTCTGTGTGTATAAGTTAGTATTTAAACTCCTCTCTTCTCAGTTAATAAACACAAATATTGTTTTTCTTTTTTCAATATTTAAAATTATGTCTTCTGTCAACAGTGTTTATATTCAACCACTAAGGGGCATCCTACACAGCTGAATATTTTGAAGTCTTCAGATTGTCAGTACATTATAAACTACAAACTACAAACTACAAACTGCCGGTTTAAATTCTCATCTGTTTTTTTTTTTTAATTGTCCTTGCCTCGTTTCCCTTTCTCACTCTCGCCAAGAAATGTCTCTCCTCCCCAGCTGTGGATGAATTCAAGAAGATCAGAAAGTGAGTGTTTAGCAGATGCTTTTTTACAATTTACCAGATCACAAATTGCCTCCATGTTTTGTAGCCCTATTTATATATAAAACAAAATCTCATATGATGGAATTCCATCTTCTGCCTTCACTTCCAAGAAATGGAAAAAAATGTATGATCCTTTGGACAAAAATAAGAGTGATATATCTTGAAAGCACTTAATCACACTCAACTGCTCATGTTTTCAGGGACTAAAGATTCAAGATACATATTGTCTCCCCCAATTTATAATATCTGTAGCTTTCTAATCAATGCACGTGATGTTAGTCAGCTGTGTTTTTGTCAACTATTTTTCTGTTCCCATGCAAAGTGAATGTAAGACCATTAGGTGATGTCAGTTCCATTCCTATGCTGATACAAACTCTTCTGTTTGTTAGAAAAAAAATGCATCGTGTTTTTATACTTAGCTCTTAAAGGTAATAACAACATAATTTTCAGAAGGTACACTAGAACTAAATGAAATAAATAAAATCTAGACCAGAGATATGTTCTCATTTTGTTGTATTATGGGAATGAAACTCATGAGGAATATGCATTTTTTTCCATGAGAATTACTTGTAAGAGTTTTGGAAGACTTATTGCCAATGAAAATGATGAATGGACAATGCAGGCAATAGGTAAAATAGAGTGTGGGGAGACTTGGCATAGGTGTGGGACTCAGGACCATCAGAAACGTACAGTCAAGCAGCAGGAAGATGTAGTTGGAATTAATTATAGAATGGATAGATTTAAAAAATTCCCACTGATGCTTTGGGCCTGGACTGAAGATCCTCTTTACTGTATTCAGGTTTCCAAAGGTGAAAAGTTAAGACTCCATCGAGCAGAAGAAGCCTATTCCCTTTTGTCCATCTCTTCATTGATTAGAGCAAACACTCTTTGGCAGAGGAAGAAACAGAACCTGCAAAAGTCTTCTTACAAACAAGCATGCAGCACTATGACTTTCTTTTGCAATATTTTTCAGAAAGGATTGGCGTGGTCTGTAGTCCCATAGATTCCTGACTCCTAAAGGGGACTCATATATGAGTGAATCTTGGTCAGTGCTGTACATCCACTGCAGGAAGGGCCCTAAATTCAGCATAAGGACAAGCTGAAGACTTATTCCTGCTACTTTCCTCTTAGCCAGGTTTGCCCCTTACCCCCTTTCCACAGTCAGTATGCCACATTCTTGGACCCTATCTAAGTCTTGCCATGTTTATAGGCATCTAACTTCAACCTATGCATGGCAGGGCTAATAAAAGCTGGGCATGATACCACTCCATGTAGCAATTCCCAAAGCTGTTTGTGAATTTAGCCCTAAAAGCCCTGCACATGCCAAAGTTCAAACATGTGCTTATGTCCTCTTGAACTCAAGGGGTTTAAGGAACATCCTTATATTCTTTGTGAAACAGAGGTATTTAATCTGATCCTTGATCTCTCCCCAAAAGTATTTACATTTTAAACATATTTGTACGTTTGTTTATATGGCTTTCTCTTCAAAAACGTTGGCAATTCATCAACAATTGAATGCTGGTGAAACTTGGGAGCCTGGTGAGCTTGGAAAGTTAATGCTGCTTACTTAGGTTTGTAAAGCTTTTAAGAAACACTAGCGATGGATTTCACTTGGCACATAAATTGTTATGTTTGAGGAATTATGCTCCAAGAATCACTTTTTACTTTCCTTAGCTTGTGAAAATATTTAAATAGAATTGCTGTTTAGGCAACTAAGTATTAGATGTTCTTCATAAATACATTTTAAAAGCCATTTCATAAAATTCATCTCATTCAGCTCTAAAAATCAGACAAATCAAAGTTAGTATCTCCTAATGCCAAACAATTTTTAACTAAACTAATCCAGTTCTGTCATCAATAACTTCTCTAGTTTGAGTTATGTTCTCATACGTCAAGTTAATGATTTTATTATTTGAGAAGGAATCCCAGAGATTTCTTAACTGTTTAGTTTGTATGCCTGAGTCTACCTCTTAAAGTCAAATGAAATTGAAGTATTAAATAATCAGTAAATCAAGCATCTTTGTTATTCTCTTCAAATAGATACACTGAGATTGGAGAATTGAGATAAATTACATTGGTAATGTATATCAGAAAACATTTATGTCTAATCTATTATGCTGAAGAAAGTCCATTAAATTCCCTTGAAATAGGATGTTTTGTGAAAAACTCTTTCATATAGATATGCTAAGTTTTCTAAAGCAGAATTTCTATTTTCACATCAGGGCAGACAGCCTAGGACGATTACTCAAGATAATACTCTCATTTACTAATAAGGGAAGTATAAAACACAAGCAACATCTCTGATAATTTTCACAAATCCTCTGGAAAATGTATTTCGGCATCAAAATGCCAGTTCTAAAGCGTTATTTGTCTATACATCTGCAGATTAGAGAGTTGCAGATTGTCAATTTCCCCATACGCCATAGACCAAGCAAGTGAACTTGAACAGTTTCCAGCCTGTTGACACTCAGTCACTTAGTTGGCAGTCGTAACGCGACCACGACTCTGAGCCTTTAGTGTGTATATCAAACTAAGGATAAAACCAAACCGGGAAAATCAAATGTTCTGTCCCTAAATTACATGCAAGTATTTTTATACGGTAGATGCGCTGCAGTCTGAACAACCAGATCACAAAAACAGGCTATTTTCTGTCCTTCAACTATCCTGAGATTTTGGGTTGTGCAGAATTGATATTCAGGTTCTGGTTTAAAAAGTATCGTATGTGGCCCCCTCTCCAGAGCTACCGCATCGCTTGGGTATTTGCTCAGATATCGCAACTCTCATACCGAGACGGAGGTGGCGCAAGGTAGGGGACAGCACCTTGCTAAAAAGGCCTTCATTCAAGTCCCAGCTCTCTCAGTGACCTGACCCCCAAGAAGTCACTTCAGTTCTCTGTGCTTTTGCCTTTTTTTTCCATATATGTTTCAGGTAGGGCTTGTCTTTCACCAAGTTTTTTACTAGCACCAGACACATGGAGCTCTGATCTCAACTACGGTTTTAGCTACTGCTGTAGCAGTAATACTGATACCAACAATAACAATGGGAACACTCACGCTGTGTAGAAGCTTCCTTTTAAATAAGTTCCCTGTCCACATCACCTTTTGAACTATGAAATGTACAGTCAACTTATAAATGACAGAGCAGCTCTTTAATGGTTATTCACCTCTTTGAAATCAGAAGACCCCTGTGGAACCGTACATTGCCACAGGGATTTAAGAGAGAAATGTTTTTCTCCATGCAGTGCAATGATACTTCTCTGTGATGTTAATGCTTATGTTGTGGCCTTTTTCCCTCTTATTTAAAAATAATCAATGACAACACAAATAAAAAACTATCTTAATCAGTGTAGTCTTTCATATGACTTACCTGTTTTTGTTTTACAAGTATAGTAATTTAATAAAGTAGTTGAAAAGTAGTTCAATCAAATGGTAGATTTATAAGGTTCCTGGAGCTATATTCACTTCAACTTTTATCTAGGCATGTAATCATGAGGTATGGTATGTCACTGACTTTTAATCAGAGTGCTCCTCTCATTCTAGTGGAAAAGTGTATTTATAGATACAAAAATGGTCCAAAAAAGCCCAGAAAGAGATGTTCCTTCACCTTCGTAGACTTTTGTGAGTGACCTTTATTTAAGAGTACAAAGGGCTTTAATAACAATAATCCACACCTTTTCAGAAGCATTTAGGGAAGATATATAATTCACAGCACCTCAATAATGAAATCCATTTTGCAAATGAGAAATTTGAGGCCGGGTGGTTATATGAGGTGTCCCATGCCAAACTGAGAACTTGAATTAAATCTCACTAGTTGCTAGAGTGTGTTTTCATTTAGAAATTATGGGTGGGATTTATCTCAGCTAACATTAGCTTTCTAAAAGGTAACAAAGTATACTAGTCTCCTTAGCTCCTTCTATAGACATCAGAGCTGCATCCTCCTAGAAGGCAGTTCCACCAAGCTACCTGCACGCTATCTTAAGATGCATTACAATGAGCTGAAGGAATGGGGATGTTTTGATGTTTTCCTTATACATTAAAGTACTTAGTGTTTGGATTTTCTTTTTCCATCATTTTCCTGATTTGGGGGCAAAGGAGATGTCTTGTTGCTGTTCTTTAAGCCAGAGTAAGGAATAAATAGAAGGGAGAATAACCCTGCTGCTGGTAAAGATTTGGAATCTTAAAAAAAAAAAAAGCAAATACTAAATTATTTTGTCCTTCACTATGTGTTCTTCAATAATGAATTACAGAAATTTGGAACTATCGGCTCAAAAGGGATAGTGGCACATGAAGCCACCATAAATGCATAAAAGCTTGAACAGAATCATCACTGGCTGGGAATAACTGAAACATTGTGTGGCTTTCCTGTCATAATGGATTCATGTTTCTTGTTAAGAAATAAGCTTTTACCTAAGAGAAAAACAACACACAGGATTGTGGTCCTTGAGCTGGATCTTCAACTGCACTGTGATAGATCGTCTCTGTAGGTGAGGAAAGAAAGAGTGGAATAGCACAGAAACCATGGAAATTGAACAGAAGCCT